CTGCAATTTTAGAATCAATAGGTCCAGATATACAAAACATAAAATATACTTCTTAGGATTTCAGAATGGAATTCATTCCTCAGAAAATATTGTTTCATGTTTACTGGATCCCTCAAAGGGGTCTTGTTCCTTTTTTGTCCACTATTGATAAAATCTCATGTGCAAAAGGTTTCTGCCTGATGGCAGATAAATTCACACAAGGAGGTTTGGTCTGCAAAATGAAATTGATCAACAACCCAGTTACATGAATATTATACAGATATATCATGCATTCCAAGATATCACTGTTGTAGTTACAGAACTCACTGGTGGGCAATTTTTTTTTGTGGTGAATAAGCCCTTCAAAGAATGTTTCAAAGAGAAGGACATTCAATTCTTTGTGTTACAAAATATAACACATTTCCTCCATTTATAATGTTCTAACTTTAGTACACTGGGAGGTATTTCTGGCATTGGAAGATCTACGCTGCTCATCTCAGAGCCTGTGGAGTGGTCCTCAGGACATGGGACTGGACAATGACCCATTGGCTGCCCTCTTCCACACTTAGGGACTATCATCTTGCTGCCCACTCGTTTTCCATTTTGTTCCCTTACCAGGTGGAGAGGAGGCTCTTGGTTTTATGCTGGGCATTAGGGTTTAGTCCCACAGCAGGTTCATACCCCCTCCATAGGCTCCCAAATGCCAGGGGCAGGGGGGGGCATAAAGGAGTGGGAGGGGCCTTGCTGTGAGGGCTGTGTGTGGCTGTGTGTGATTACGTGAGTGACTGTAGCGGAGGTTTGTTTGTGGCAGGTGTGGGGGTAAATGAATGCCTTGTCTTGGGAGGAGAATGCAAAAGATGAGAGGCATCTGGGGGAGAAAAGAGAGTGAGCAGGAACATTGGAAGTGTGACGGGCAGGGGAAGATACGGTGGGATCTGGGAGTGGAGCCTCACTCGGAGATGTCAGGCTTGCTGGTTGAGAGTGATCCTGTTGTCCAGCCCCAGGGTCTTCCCTCCGGGCCACGTTATAGGATCCTGTACTGGGCAGTAGGAATAAACTCAAGGAACAGGAGGAAGAACCGCAACCAAGGGAGCAGTCAGATAAATGAATTCTGAGTCCAGGGCAGAAATGTAATTTGAGAAAGTGTAATCGCAGTGAGAATAACTTGAGAGACAGGAGGAAGAGCCACAGCCAGAGAATGGTCCGATAAGGGCTGACAGCTCCTTGGTGACCCTGGACTCTGGCTGTTGCCGCTGAGGGCCAGGTCAGTCTGCAATAAATCTGTCCTCATCCACAATTTACATTTTTGCAATCACATGTTCATCATTTGTATACAATTCATTTTAAAAATGTGGTTTATATTGTTCAATCCCCATTACCTTTTTCTGTATATACGACTAAAACTCTTGTGTCTGTAACCTTCAGTTGAGTGAAACAGTACCTCAAATGGGCTAACTTACAGAATGCATCCAAAATATGAGACCCATTACTCCCGTGGGATAGAAATTTGGGAAATTTGTGACTGCTTCAGCACTGCTGTGCTGCTGTGCCACCATGGTCAGACCAGGTCACATGATCATCATGGGCACATCCCCAACCTATTTCCTACCTCCCTCTGTCCCCTGCGCCCAATCGCTGGTGGCAAGGCTCAAAGAGTGACTGTTGATTGGCTACTTTGGATGCCTGCTGGTGAGGTAGGGCCGGCTGGGTGGCGCTGGTGGTTGTTGGGTGAGTCCTATTTCTCCCTTGACGGAGGGGGCCCTTGGCTGGAATTGGGACCTGGGGTGCAGTTTTCCTCACAGTTCCCTTGGTTCCACTCCCCCCAGCAAAGTGCCAGGCACTTCTGCGGATCAGTTGAGAAGGAGAAGGAGGCTTCATGGTGGATCTCCTGAAATTTGTGAAGGGAGGGCAAATGATGTAAGCCTATATTATGTGAGGGAGAGAGGGAGGATAGAAGGAAGGAAGATTTCTCACCCTTCCTGCCAGTGTCCCACAAGTGAAGTCAATGGGAAAGCCGGCAGCAAGTCGATCACACTCCCATTGCTTTTTTGCCCTCGGTCATTCTGTTTCTCTGTTTAGATAAGGAAGTAACTCTGAAACGATGACCCAGTGGATCATGGGTTGTCTAGTCTATATTAAATCTTTTCCTTAATTGTGCATATGGGAACCCCTGACAACTAAATCCCTCTGCAGTTGATTGTTTTCTTGACTTTATCTTAAGCTGTCCATCTTCATGCATTAATAATTCTTGATATGTTAACCATTACTCTTTGCCTGCTGTTTCTTTTCTATAAAATGCTTCCCCATTATAAAATGCACGATATACTAGCATATAGCTTTCCAGCTATTGTTACTTGAAGTAAGAAATGTTTACCCAAAAATTGGAGTTACAAAAAATGTGTAGTGCTGGACTGCTGCCCTAAATGGCATTTTTAAAAGGGGGAACCCTTGGTACAATCAATATTCTCAACCCAAATCATCAGGTCACCCGATTTTTGTCTCTTGGGCAGGATGGGGCATCATTTATTTTAGCTTTTGCTTTCCAACAGGCAGTTAGCCCTGGGATACAGTGGCTACTGTCGCCACTGAAACAAGGTGATAGTTTTTCTTTCCCAGATTAAGAACATTAATTAAGATTTCTTAATTGATCAAGAAAGAGAAGCATTATCTCCATCCCCAACATCAGATGCCTGCTCGGGTTAAAAGTTTTTTCCAGATGTTTTTATTATAATGGCTTTTTCCATATAATTTATAAGTAATATAATTACAAATTTAAATTAGTACATTGTAACATCATAGACAACAGATTTATTAATATTATTATTATTAAGTCATGGTCACGTGATAATTTGCTTAATGACCATGGCAAAATAGGTTGTAAAATCAGGTGTGATTACGTGATGCCTCACTTAATGACCGCACTGTTTAATGATGAATTTTCTGGTCCCTGTCGTTATTGTAAAATGGGGACTCCCTGTATTACTTATATTCACATTATATTCACCTTATAATATTTATAGTTTCCATAGTGTGTCATAAAGTGAGGTAGGTGTTGATTACCACTTTCATTATTATATTACTTTATAACATACCATATAGAAAAATGTTAAACTATATTTTAAAAATGATACTTTAAATGTGGTTTATGTAAAGCTGTTTGGGGGGGGAATTACTAGGAACAATTTTTTCGATACTCATTTCCATTCTTCTGATATTTCTCTCTCAAAATTACTTTCTTGTTTTAAAAACAGCAAAAGTATCCAAAAATATTTATTTGGTTATCAAATTATTAAAATGCTGAAATGCCAGAATATATAATTTCTGATTTGGAATCAACAATCTTCCCTCATTAAAATGTACAGATATCAAACTTATTTTATTCCAGGCCATTTTGAACCAAAACAGAAAAGTTCAGTTTTATATTGCGGAACCTTTTGTTGTTTCTGAAGCAAATTAAAGGGTAAAAATAGCGGTTTTGGTAAAGCAGACATTTTAATTGTTGCAGTCTCACCCAAAATAAATCTATAATATTTTGGCATAACTGTTTCCAAACAGAATGACAATTAGTTTAACAACATTCATATTCTTTATAATCTATGCATCCAAATAGTGAAAAGCGTATATGGAATGAATAGCTCAACTGATTTAGAGAAAAATGTTTAAGAATCAGGAAGTGTATGGAAAAACATAATGTAATATTTTCAGATTAGTTGGTAATCTAGAAACGTCAACAAAGTCTTACCAGTTTAAGTTGTAAAACCAGATGAAGTAGATTAGATAACACAGGAGCCATGTTACACATGGTCCTCGTTCAATGACCACTCATTCAGCAACTGTTCAAATTTATGATGGTGCTGAATGAGTGGTACTTATGATCTGTCCTCAGAGTAACAGCTGTCCCAGAGCCCCATGGCTTTGTAACCACGTTTCGGGTGCTCGGCAACCGGCTCACACTTCCAACTGTCAGTGTGTCCTGCAGTCATGTGATTGCGATTTGAGACCGTCACAGCAGGCTTCCAACAAGCAAAGTCAGCAGAGAAACTGGCAGGAAATGGCAAGTCGTGATCACATGAGGTCCTCGCTTAACGACCTGCATGGTCCTCAGCGAGGATTGCAACCTGAACTGCTGTTGCTAAGCAATGCAGTCACATGGTTTTTCGACTTATACCATATTTTTCAGCTTATGACTGCATTGAATATTATTTATTCTCTAGTTTTATTTCCAACCTTTCCTCTAGCACGCTCCCCTCCATTTTCCTAGCAACTTTGTAAGATAGCTCCAGTTGATTCTAGTTGGCCATAGTTACTGGTAATTACTGGTAATTTATATTTCCAGTATAATTAGTATATTATATATATATAATATAGTATATATTACTAATTTACATTTCCAATAAATTTGGAAAGACTAGTCTCTTAGCAAGAAGAAGGGTGGAGGAAGGAGGAAATAGAGAAGATGTAGAAAGTAAAGGCCAAAGTGGTCCCAGTAATGGTAGGAGCACTTGGGGCTGTGACTCCTAAGTTGGGAGAGTGGCTTCAACAGATCCCAGGAACAACATCAGAGCTCTCTGTCCAGAAGAGTGCAGTGCTAGGAACAGTCAAGATACTGCGCAGAACTCTCAAACTCGAAGATGTAGAAAGTAAAGGCCAAAGTGGTCCCAGTAATGGTAGGAGCACTTGGGGCTGTGACTCCTAAGT